TTCATAGGCAAATAACAATTCCAGTTGCTATATTTCTTACTTGAGTTACAAGATTTATTACATTACCAAGAACTTACAAAAACATAAATTTTCCTGCCATTTTGATTTCTTATATAGGTAAAACATCCATTCTCTAATTCCTGTATCGAGAACTTCCCTCATAATTATCATCTTTCCTTCCTTGACTCTGCATTCAGGAAAACATTTCAATAATTATGTTTTCCTTTCTTACTGCCTTCAACATTTTTAATGATAATTTTAGCTGGGCAAACATCTCGATATTTTTAGACATTGAAGTTACTTTATTGTAGAATTAGGTACATATTTGGTTCATCTTCCAGGATAATCCTATTTTCTTCTGGCTGATCTGCATTTGTTTTGTGCATAGGTAAAGAAAACTCCAGGGTATTTCTCTGCTCAATTCTTTGGAGCTGCAATCAATAAAATTTCTACTCATATTTTCTCTTACACTTACTTTCTAGTAGAGTTGCAATTTTGTACCTTTATGATTTCCTAAAAGAAATTTAAAGATAGTGAGTGTATCAAGTACAACTGGTATGCTACCATTGTAATTCAGAAATATTTGAACCAAAGGACAGCAAGCCCGTAACTGTTACTGATCTGTATCAACTGGAGTATGAAGCTCTCTGCTCTCAGTTTCTCTTATCTAAACTGGGGACTATGAATGTGCTAACATTATTTATAATATTTTGCATTAGTAACAGGGATGTTTAAATTGTAAGGTAGATGTAATGCAATTTAAATGAAGATTAAAAATACATACACAAATATATATATCTCAAACTTAGGCAATCCATTGACTACAAAAACTCTGCTCAAAAAATAAATGGCTGTGTAAGGTATAACAATTCTGATCTATACTGGAATTTAACAATTAGGTAAATACATAGTAGATGGCAAGATCCAGGTTCTCTCTTCATCATCAGGGTGAGAATTTACAGATAAGCAGGGGAGACTAGAATCATCCATGTGGTAATGGATTAGAGTTGAAAACAACATTATACTGTAATCCTAGACTCTGGGAGGCCTAGGCGGGCGGATCGCTTGAGGTCAGGAGTTTAAAACCATCCTGAGCAAGACCCCAAATAGAAACAAATTAATTGGCCAACTAACATATATAGAAAAGAATTAGCCAGTCATGGTGGCGCATGTAGTCCCTGCTACGCAGGAGGCTGACGCAGCAGGATTGCTTGAGCCAGGAGTTTGAGGTTGCTGTGAGCTAGGCTGATGCCACGGCACTCACTCTAGCCTGGGCAACAAAGTGAGACTCTGTCTCCAAAAAAAAAAAAAAAATCATTATAAACTCATGTATAGCTCAATAGATAGATGGTTACATGTAGAAATATCTATGGAAAGATGTGTATATACAGTATACACACAAATATTTTCTTGCTCTGTCAATAGTTAAGGGCCTGGAAGCAACAACACTCCACGAGTGACAAGGACCCAGATTTGGTTTTTTATGTCCTTCTCCAGTAAGTGAAATCAGAGCTCCTTAGAGAACTAGCTGATAGGAAGACTGGGGCAGAAAACATCTATGATAATCCTAGAGCATCTTTTAGTACCAAAGAGTAAAGAAGTGCTCATGTGAAAATACTCCAAAATTTCACAAAGATGGGGGCAGAGGCCGAGTGAAACCCCTCAGTAGTCAAAGCTAGAACAGCAAAGTAGTATTGAATTATAATTCACAGTATAAAATAAATATCCACGATTCATTATTGACACCAGTAACTTAGGGGAGACGAGATCACTCTGTGATGCAGAAGAAATACAAATAATTTATGGAGGTGCTCTGTCCCCAAACATGTGGAACATAACTTCATTCCTTCAGTATGGGCTGAAGATAGTGACTTTTCCCCCAGAGAGTACAGTAGGGAATGGAGGAAACAAGAGTAACTTCACAGAGGAGAAATCTGGCAAGCACCGCCTCAGCCAAAACACATAACCACAGCCTAACTCTGAGAAAGACATCAGACAAACCCTGATGGAAGAAAATTCTACAAAATCCCCGTTCATTGGCCCTCAAAGCTTTCAAGATCATCCAAAACAACGGATGGTCTGTAAAAACTGTCACAGCCCAGAGGAACCTAAGGACATGTCACAATTAAATGTGATGTGGAGTCCTGGAACAGAAAAAAGGATATTTTGGTAAAAAATAAAAAAAAAAATGAGGAATGTATAGACATTAGTTAATCATAGTGTATCAATATTAGTTTATTCATTTATAACTAGTGTACCATACTAATGTAAGTTACCAATAATAGAGAAAACTGGCTACGGCATATATGAGAACACTCTCCATTATCTTTGCAATCTTTTTCTGTAAATCTAAAGCTGTTGTAAAATAAAAATGACTGCAGGATAAATAAATGCATGCAGGAACGACAAAGTTACAAAACAAGGATTGAGATTTTTAAATATTGTGCGATGAAGAGAACGTGGTAGAAAATAACATTTGGTTAGTTTAAAAATATAGACTGGAATTGTTTGTTCTTGTCCCTTGTGAAAACAGATGCAAATAGAAGACAAAAAATTTGGACACTGTGTAACTGAGCCAGCATGCAGCCAATAGTATTTAATTTCAGCAAATAGCTTATAATCACAATAATCAGGTTGGGAGCAGTGAGCCAAGCTATTGGAACTATTTTTCCAATAAAATAATTGCCTTAATTCAGACCAGGGAAATATTTGGGGGAGGAGGGTTAGAGTGGTAAATAGACTCACTGAAATTATTAATTAGTTTTACACAGCCATGGCCAAGAACACAGAAAAAAAAACCTGGCTTATATCAGGGAAGCAACCAAAACCAAAAGAGGATATGAACAATTTTGCACAATGCGTTGCTTTGATTACTGAAAACTATCTTTTGAATTCTCATTTGATACAGAATCATCATCAAACAATGCATTTGTCATGTAATTGTTAATTGCTGTTCATAATATACATGAGACAACTTTTTAACATTTGCAAATATTTCCTAGTAATCTGATGATACGCTATTTTTCACTGTTTTTTTTTTAATTTTCCAGGAATTTAATCATTTATTTTTGCCAATTGAAAGTTTACTTTCTTTCATTACAATAAAATACATTTGTATCTATCTATATAGAAAAAAGCTACCCATGATAGCTTTTTAAAGAATGTATTTTCTATTGGGCTTCCTTATTTTTTATTTTTGAGCTATAATGGTGCCTATACATATATTCAATATGTATTCTGCTTTTCTACTCAACAGTTTACCATAAGTATTTTCTCATCTTATTTTAATAATCACTACCTTAAATGCTGAAAAATACTAAATAAAATGATTTGATAATTTATTAACCTGTTGGATATTTACAGATTGCTTCAGGGATATTTTATTCACCCCTATATGTTCTAATTCCAGAAGAAAAATCCAAACCCAGTAATTGTGTGTATCTCTGGTGACGTGACTATAGCATTCTTGTATTTGAAACTGAGGAAGGAAACAACTGGGGTCCCAGTTCTAGTAAATATGTAGTTCTAAAATATAAGGGAATTTTTTTTAGGTTGTCACATAAATTCTGAAGCCCATTCATCTCCGGTACCCCAAAGATTGAGCCCACATTCTGGTTAGCTATATAGTAAAGTGGGGGCAAACACTGCATTCTAGACATAGAGGACACAATTGTTCAAAAAACTAGAGTTCTGACTTCAGCCTCATTCTCTCATTCCCATCAGGAGACCAGTTATCTGAGCAACTTTTAAGTCAGGTGCTTCTTGACCTTCCAGAGGTGGCTTGGTGACAGCCTCCTGTGGGGCAAGAGCAAACATGACAGCAAATCTGGATGGCCAGTTAGTTTCCTAGCAAGCCAGAGAAAAGGCCTTGCAAACTTGTAGTATCTTCTGGCAGACATGTACCAGGACTAAAGATTTTTCTTTTGTTGCAAGATAAGAGCCAGAAAATTAAGGCAAAATGCATTAATTTCTCTTATGTTGCCATACGAAGGATGGGGACATTTTCACCTATTCCGATGTGAACTCTTTGCCAGTTTGGTGCATACTTACAGCTCTCGATACTACATCAAACAATATAATAGCAACCTGGGATTGGCTATAATAGCCATTTCTCAGGCCAGCAAATGTTATGTCCAATACATTGAATTTGAAAGGTCTACTGACAATGTGAAACACAGGTGATGTATCTCAACAACCAAAAGTGACTATACCCTTCTCAAATGACCAGTACTGCTGTTAGCAACCAATACATGTATAAGTACAATTTAGGGTTTTCCTTGAGCCGCCATCATGATGTTTCTTCTACAAGTATATCTGTTCCTCACATAACTGAGCCAAAGTACATTTTAAAGAAATAATCTCAGTGATGAAAATGTGAACACTTATAATGCCTAAAATGTCAAATATTGGAGCATGAAAATGTCGTTATGCTTTTTTTTTTTTTTTTTTTTTTTTTTTTGAGACAGAGTCTCACTCTGTTGCCTGGGCTAGAGTGCCATGGCATCAGCCTAGCTCACAGCAACCTGAAACTCCTGGGCTCAAGCGATCCTGCTGCCTCGGCCTCCCGAGTAGCTGGGACTACAGGCATGCGCCACCATGCCTGGCTAATGTTTTCTATATATTTTTAGTTGGCCAATGAATTTCTTTCTACTTTTAGTAGAGACGGGATCTCACTCTTGCTCAGGCTGGTCTTGAACTCCTGGCCTTGAGCAGTCTGTCCACCTTGGCCTGCCAGAGTGCTAAAATTATGGGCATGAGCCACCGTGCCCAGCCTTGAAAATGTCTTGAGATGTTCCCATGATAAAGCTTAATAAACTATGATTTGATTTCAAAATAATTCTACAACTCATAAATAAAAATCTAAGAATTATAACTAAGAATATATATTAATTATATTAACATAACATTTATTGAGAACCTATATGCCAGGTGCTGTTCTAAGTGTAGTGACCAAAGAAAGATAAAAATTCCTGCATTCATGGAGTATATCTCTTTCACAGCCCAAAATTGAACCGCTGGCTTCTGAAGGAAGTTGGTAATTCCAGGAAGATTGCTACTGCTCACAAAAGAATCGTGACCAGACACTGAAAACCCTTTATATTCTACTCTGGCTTCAGCTGTATGAACATAGAAGATACTGAGATACCAGAAGAGGAAATCAAGCAGAACGTATGGAATGGAGGACTGATTCCACGATGAGTGAGCAAATTCCCAATTTCGAGTATGTTGGGAGTGGGTTAGCTTGTTGACCAGAGGAAGGGGGAAAGAGGCAAGGAGAAAGGAAAAGAAAGAAATTATACCCAACTCTGTGTTGCCATTCTATAAAACCGACTACCGTGTAAAAAAGAGAACAGTTAAGACTTATACCAAATATGGATGCGAGTAGAGTTTCAAATCAGAGCAAGAGCCAAGTAATGCCAAGGAGAAGCCAAACTCAGAATGTTGGGTTTTATGACTGATTTGGAACCATGAAGTTGCTCAGGCTTTTTTATTTTTGTGGGGTGTTTTGGGTGAGGGTGGTGGTGAACAGTAACCAATAGTGTAGAAGCTACGAGGGGCTACTGGGAGTGAGGGAGGTTTGTGGTAAGCTAAAGGTCAATACTGTTGAGTTAGATCTTTGAATTTAGTGACTGCTCTTGTTGGATTAATAAGAGGGGTTGTCCTGTGTTTCACACTGTACTGCAAGGATTAGAGAGAGACAAGAGCCGCAGCTTCTGAATTATGGTGTATCTGGATTGGACGAGAATAGGAAAAGTCATTTAGGAGCCTGCCAAACATTGTATGGGGAATATAAGAGAGACCCCAGAAGAAAACAGACGAGAGGATGTAGGATAGAGACAAAGCCTATTAAGTTGTATCCTTTGAACAGTCCCTCATCACATCTTCGGAGATATTACTTAGCAAATTTACCACAGTTGTGTTGAAAGAAGACAGACCAAAGGACAGATTGTAAAAGAGGGCTTGGGAGAAGTTAGAGAAATGTGGACCTTCATCTATTTTCCTGTCAGCAAATACTAAAGTTTGCATTGTGAACTTCAAGGGTGGCTTGCGATTTGGTTGCAAGGTGCCTGTGGATTTCAGCCAAACCACAAATGTGCAAAATAATGTCCCTCTACCAGAAACTCAATGAATCTTTGTGGAATTCTGCCTAATGCACGTGCTTCGACTCCCTCCCTCCATCATTCTTTATATTTTAACAGATCGAAAACTGTTTTTGTCATATGTTATAGGATCTACCATCTTACCTGAGGGCAGCTCCAATTCTCTTAAAGTTGGAAGTGAAAAACTGTGAGGCAGGGATCACTAACTACTTCTGAGTGGATATGGAGGATCTGTCTTGATCTAAATATGCATCCTGAAAATATGAAGGACGATTTTGACAAGGTCTACATACCTGTAAAACACTGAATGAAACAAAAATCTGTGATTTTCCTTTTAAGTGGACTACCTTTTAATGGTGATCTCAAACTGAGAAAGTCAACAATGGTTGCCTGGCTCATCAGTGTCATGAGGCTCCAAATATTAGCTAGTCCTGAGGAGTGAGGCAGGGGTAGACAAGGTCAGAAAGAAGGGTATTATTTTAGATCCTTGAGGCCTTACTGTGACTTAAATGACATACACACACACTTTCCAATGACATCAGGCAAAGCTTCCTGTGAGCAACTGGGAAAGGGACTTGGCTCAGAACTCGAAGAAACCCAACCTGAGGTTTTAAACCATGCTCATTTCCAGTGATTTGCAATTGATTCAATTTCCAATAATGAAAATCATTATTGTCCCTGGTTCCAATAGCAAAGTGAAAGGAGAATTGAATTAGGAAGGAGAAACATTTTGTTGGAAAAAATGACTCTGTGGGAACATTTTCGAGGGGCCCCAAAGAGATGGAATCCAAAGGTGCTATTCCCATGATCTGGCAGGTTACCTGGAAACAGATGTTCCCCCGTAGCTAGAGTAGTGGCTGGGAGCAAGCAGGGATGGGAAGATGAGGACAACAGAGGAAGTCAGTGTGCATTTCCATTTCTTGTGCAGTTTCCAGTCCCCGGTCAGTAGAGCTGAACTTGTGATGGACTAAGCAACATCCCTGCGGAAGTCTGTTTGGCAGAGACAGAAGAGGAGCTTGTGTTAGAGGATAGCCTTCTGCAGCTCTCGGTCCATCCCCTGTCAGTACTCCAGTGGCTACGACAAGGTAAAACTCCCCTTCTCATGAAAAATTTTATGTAGAGCAGGCACGAGACAATCCCTCTTTGGCCAACATCCAGGCTGGCTGGAGGACTTTGTCTGCAGCAAAGCAAGTAGACCACCCACTGTTTCAGCCACAGGTCAGACAAGTCCACATACATGGCAGCTTCTCCATGACTGACAAATGTCATAATTAGTGAAGTATTGGTATGACTATATGAAAATATCCTTTAAAGATAACATGGCTTACAAGTCACCCTCCTGGACAGACACAGCAGAATGCTTGAAATAATGATTGCCAAAATTAATCTGCTTTCTGAAAATGGGGTTCTGAATCATAGGATGCTAAGGAGAACTGCCTGTGGTATAGTCAGCTATTGTTTTTAAGAGTAGCCAAGAAGAGAGTTTAGGTCTCCTGTTGGCTGTTCCAGGCTTAATGGTGCACCTTCGGTAGACCGAAGTGCTTGCATTGGGTTGCACAGAAGTTTTGGAATGAAGTCCTAAAAAGCTTTGTAGAGATTGTCCCTGGGCCCTGTATGTCCTCATGTAAGAAAGGGAAGCAAATCCCTCAAGATTCTAGAAATCTCTGGATCTACCCACGCCTGCCATCACATTTCAAACAGCCTCATTGGAAGGCTCCATTCTAAATAAGGGTAGCCCCAAAAGTCTCATCTGGAATATCACCTAAGAAAACTCACCATCTCTGGGGGTTTTCAAAGTATATCCATGGTGATGTGGACGTTCTACTTTCCACATGAAATCCTGTGGAATTTCCTGAAATTGTGAGCCTTAATTTTAAATTATTTTTGGTTGACACATAATAATTGTACATATTTATGGGAATTCAGTGTGATATTTAGACACACAGGTACAAATGTGTAACAATCCAATCACGGTGATTAACATATCCATTTATGATTTGAGGTGAGAACATTAAAAATCTGCTCTAAGAGCTACTGGACAATATAAATTATTATTAACTATAGTCACCCTATAGTGCTATAGAACTCATTCCTCTTATGTATTTGGTATAATTTTGTATCCCTTACCCAAACGTTTTATGTCCTCCCTCTGTCATCCTTCCTGGCTTCTAATAACCACAATTCTACTCTGCATTTTTGTGAGCTCAACATTTTTCATATCTCACCTACCTATGAGCAAGAACACACAATACTTACCTTTGTGTGCTTGACATAACAAAATATGCTCTAGGATCATCCATGTTGCCACAAATCACAAGATTTCATTTGTTTTTATATCTGAATAAGAATGCCGTTATGTATGTATACATTTTCTTTATCTGTTCATCTACTGATGGATATTTATGTTGATTCCATATCTTCAGTATTGTGAATAGTGTTACAAACAGCATGGGGTGCAAATATCACTGTAGTATATTGATTTTTTTTTCTTTTGGATACCCTAGAATTGCTGCATGATGTGCTAGTTCTATGAGGAAACTGCATACTGCTTTCCATCATAGCTGTACTTACTAATTTGCATTCCCACCAACATTGTATGAGTTCCTTTTTCTCTGCATCCTTATAAACATTTATTTTTTGGCCATAACCATTCTAACTGCAGTGAGACAATATCTCCTTGTGGTTTTCATTGTCATTTCCCTGATGATTAGTGCTGTTGTGCATTTTTTTTCATGCAGTTGCTGGCCATTTGTACACCTTCTGTAGGAAAAGTTTATTCAGATCATTTTCCCATTTTTAAGTCATATTTTTCGGCTGTTGAGTTGGTGGGTTCCTTCCATTTTCAGGATGTTAGTCTCCTGCTGGATGAATAGTTCGCTAATATTTTTTCCCATTTTACAGTTGTCTCTTCACTCTGTTGATTATTTTCTTTGCTGTGTAACAGATTTTTAGTCTGATAGAGTTCCACTTGCCTATCCTTTTGAAGTGTTAAACAAGGTCAATTTTTATGTCGTCTTGTAGTAATTTTATAGATTTGGGTCTGTCTGTTTTTTTTTTGAGACAGAGTCTCACTTTGTTGCCCAGGCTAGAGTGGGTGCTGTGGTGTCAGCCTAGCTCACAGCAACCTCAAACTCCTGGGCTCGAGTGATCCTTCTGCCTCAGCCTCCCGCGTAGCTGGGACTACAGGCATGCGCCACCATGCCCGGCTAATTTTTTATATATATATCAGTTGGCCAATTAATTTCTTTCTATTTATAGTAGAGACGGGGTCTCGCTCTTGCTCAGGCTGGTTTTGAACTCCTGACCTTGAGCAATCCGCCCGCCTCGGCCTTCCAAGAGCTAGGATTACAGGCGTGAGCCACAGCGCCCGGCCAGATTTGGGTCTTTCTTACAATTAAATCTTTAATTCATTTTTATATATGGTGAAAGGTAGACATCAGCTTTCATTCTGCTGCATGAGAGTGTCCTTTCCCCAATTTACATAAATAGAATGGATTAAGGAACCTAGAAATCCACATATTGGTCTATATGGCTGTTTTGATTACAATAGCTTTGTAGTTAGCAAAAGAATAAAACTAGAGGCATTATGCTGAGTATTGCTATGTGGGTCTTTTATGGTTCCATACAAATTGTAGGATTGTTGATTCTGTTACTGTGAATATTACTGGTATTTTGATAGGTATTGCATTAAATCTGTAGATTGCTTTGAGTAGTATGGTTATTTTAACAATATTCATCTAATCCATGAGAACATAGGATATCTTTACATTTTTTGGTCTATCCCCCTCAAATGTCATTCATGAGCATTGCATAGTTTTCAATGTAGACATTTTTTTAATTAAATTTACTCTTAGATGGGTTGTTTGGTTTCCCAGCTACTTTAATCTGAGATTGCTTTCTTCCTGTCTTATTTTCTTTGTAGTTTTCTATAGTCAGGTTTGATTCCTTTCTCAGTTGTGGATCTGCTCAGCCAGTGAATTTCTTTGTTTTCATGATGGTTGATATGGTCCTTTGGCTTCCAGATGTTGGATTCTCTTAAGCTTTCTTACAGGGCTGGTCTATTGATGATGAATTCCCTCGTTTTTTTGCTCATATAGGATAAACTTTATTTCTTATTTCCGAATGATTGATAGCTTTGCTGGTAGAGTTTTCTTTCCTCCTTTTTAATTTTGGAATATTATAGAAGTACAGAGGCTTTGGTTACATATATTACCTTTGCACCACCCAAGTCAGAGCTGCAAGTGTGCCCATCCCCAAGATGGTGAGTACACGTGGTGCTTGTTTTCCATTCTGGGGATACTTCACTTAGTAGAAGAATGGGCTCCAGGCTACTCCAAGGGGTAGTTTACCATTATTTTTATGGCTGTGCAATACTCCATGGTATGTATATACCACATTTTCTTAATCCATTGATGGGCACTTGGGTTGCTTCTACATCTTTGCAATTGTGCTGCTATAAATGTTGTAGTGCAGATTTTTTTTTATTATAGAAAATATTTTTTTTTCCTTTGGGTAAATACCCACTAGTGGGATTGCTGGATTACATGATAGTTCCTGGAGGTATCTCCATATTACTTTCCATAGAACTTGTACTAATTTGCAATCCTATCACCCTGCATCTACACCAACATTTTTGGTTTGGGGACTTTTTGCTAAAAGCCAATCTCAATCTCCCTGTGGTTTTGATTTGTATTTTCCTGAGGATTTAGAAATGTTGAGTAATTTTTCATGTTTTTGAAAACTTTATTCATGTCCTTTGCCCACTTTTTAAAGGGGTCATTTTTTTCTTGTGTGTATATACATTTTAGTTGTCAGCCCTTTATCAGAGGTGGAGCTTGCCACTATTTTCTCGGTTATCTAAAAGTTTCTGCACAGCCAAGGAAACTATCATTAACCACTTCAGTACCAGCGTCAACTATGGTCAATAGCCACAGATGAACGTGCACAGTGACTTGAGCCGTGTTATGACTTCACAATTTTATTTTGATAAATGAAAAATTAGAAAACATTTAAAAATAATGAAATGACAACATGTATGTATATTATAAGCAAAGCTGCCTGTAAAGTAAAACAAGCTTTTCTCATCACACAAGAGCACAACAGACTCATTGTGAAAGCACAGCATGGACTATGAGTGCTGTACCAAAGTGGTTAAATTTGATCAGGTCCCATTTTTTTTTGTCGATTGCCTGTGGGATCTTCTTCACAGTCTTTACTTAGGCCAATGTCTAGAATTCTTATAATTTCCTGCCTTAGGTTTAAGTCTGTTATCTATCATGAGCTGATTTTTGTGAGGGGTATGAATCCTGTTTCAGTGTTCCACATGTGGCTACCCAATGTTCTCAGCATTCATTGAATAGAGTTATTTTCAGTGTATTTTTTTCTTCCAAATCAATTTCGGAGGGTTTTATATCTAGGTTCTCAGTCCTGTTCTATTGGTCTATGTCTCTGCTTTGGTATTATATGCTTGTAGTCTGATAAATTGAGGCCTCCTGCTTTATTCTTTTTGCTTAAGGTTGCTGCAGCTATGCGGGGTCTTCTCTGATTCCATAGAAATATAATTTTTCTAGATCGTGAAAAATATGTTGCTGTTTTAATAGGGATTGCATTGAATCTATATATCACTTTGGGTAGTATAGACATTTTAACAATGTTGATTCTGCCAATGCATGACCATGGCTTTCTACCTTCTATATTTAATTTTTACAGTGTTCTCCCTAGTTGGGTTCTTACCTTAGTTAAATGTATTATTTCATGCTATTCTGTCTTCGATTTGAGTCTCAGCTTCAGTGTTATTGGCATATGTGAAAGCTACTGAATGCTGTACAAGAAATAGTCAAATTCCTAGAAACATACAACCTCCCAAGATGCAAACAGGAAAAATAAAATGCTGAACAGACTGAACTGGCACTCATTCTATAAAGCCAGTATTGCCTAGATACCAAAGCTAGGAATGGACACAACCAAAAACCATAGACCAACATCCCTCATGAATATAGATGCAACCTGAGCTCAACAGCACATCAATGGAAGGAAAAAACATAGGATCATCTTAATAGATGCGGAAAAAGCATTTGACAAAATC